TGGAGGGGAATGAAGAGAGATGTGACAGTTTTTGTGTCTGGGTGCCTTACTTGTCAACAAGTGAAGGCTGAGCATCAGAGGCCAGCGGGTTTGTTACAACCCTTGCCTATTGCCGAGTGGAAGTGGAAGCATATCACTATGGACTTCGTTGTAGGTCTTCCAAGGACTCAGCGGGGTAGTGATGCTATTTGGGTGGTTATAGACTGGTTGACCAAGTCAGCGCACTTTATCCCTATGCGCGTGAGAGATTCGGTAGATCATCTTGCCGACTTGTATATTCAGGACATAGTGAGGTTACACGGGGTCCCAGTGTCGATCATCTCAGGTAGAGATCCGCGTTTTACTGCTAGATTGTGGCAGAGTTTGTAGAGTGCCTTGGGCACTAGGTTGACTTTTAGCACAGCTTATCATCCTCAGACTGACGGGCAGTCCGAGCGTACTATTCAGATCCTTGAGGATATGCTTCGGGGTTGTATCTTTGACTTTAGTGGGTCATGGGAGAGGCACTTGCCCTTGGTGGAGTTTGCCTACAACAACAGTTTTCAATCGAGTATCGGTATGGCACCGTTTGAGGCCTTCAGGGCCGGCCTTGAGGCATACGCCACTAGGCCATGGCCTAGGGCCCCTTAAAATAGACTAAAAAAAGGGGCTCCCACCTATTATAATTTAGTGTAATATATTAGGTATGTTTTAGGTCTAAAAAAATTAAAAAATGCCCATACTAACTTAAAATAAATTTACTCATTAAAAAATTGAAAGGCCATTCAAAAAAATTAGCATTGTTATCCATTGAAAATAGACCCAAAAAAGGGGTCTCTTATTATAGTTTAGTCTAATATATTAAGTATATTTTAAGTCCAAAAAAAATTAAGGAAGGCCCAAATTAACTTAAAATAATTTGATCCATTAAAAAATTGAAAGGTCCATTTAAAATAATTAGCACTGTTAGTCATTGAAAATGATTTTGCAAAAAAATTAGATTATGCAAGTATGATTGATTTATTTGCTTTGAAAAATACAAAAAGATTGAAGATCAAGCGATACTTATTAGTTATTGTAATGTAATGCTAAGTATTTTTTGTGATTTTGACACAAATCTTTTGTCCTTTACTTTAAATTTTTTTTTTCATTCAATGAAAAAAAAAATGTGAAGAGCCCCAAAAATTTATTAGTTGATTATCGGCTTTGAGCCTTGGAAATCTCAGAGCCGGGCTTGGAGGCCTTGTATGGCCGACCATGCAGGTCTCTAGTTTGTTGGGCCCTGGTGGGTGATGCACCTTTGTTGGGCCCGAAGTTGGTTCTAGAAACAACGGAGAAAGTTGAACTTATCCGTAGAAGGCTTATTACAGCCCAGAGTCACCAAGAGTGTTATGCCAACCGTAGGAGGAGGCCTTTGATTTTTGAGGTGGGTGATCATGTCTTCTTGAAAATATCACCTAGGCGCAGTTTGATGAGGTTTGGTAAGAGAGGGAAGTTGTCCCCTCGATTTATTGGCCCTTTTGAGATCCTTGAGAGGATTAGCGAGGTTGCCTATCGTTTAGCTTTGCCGCCGCAGTTGTCCGGAGTTCACGGCGTGTTTCATGTTAGTATGCTTCGAAAATACGAGCCGGATCGGTCACATGTATTGAATTGGACCAACTTAGAGGTAGATGAGGATGCCTCGTTTGAGGAGAGACCGGTTCGGGTCTTGGATAGGTGGGATCAAGTTTTGAGGGCGTTGCAGTCAGTGTAATTTACCATTTTCTTTTTTGTAAGATAATTATCAACAGGTGCTATGGACTAGATTTATTTGCTTATAAATTCTTTTTTTTTTCTTACTTATTTTCCTTTCATTTAAAGATCTTTTAGATATATGTTTTGTATTGTGAAATAATCATTTGTTAGTAGTAACGATACTGAGAAATTTATCGAAATGATAAATGATTGGAATATTTTAATTTTTGTTTGTGAATTTTGATTTACTTTTAATTTATTCTTGTTAGTTTGTATTAAAATATGATGTGAAAAGTGTAAGTAGTTGAATTTTATTTTTTAAAGAAATTTTTATAATGATAAATTTATCATAAAAATTATTTGTGACATCATCTCAAAAAAGTTGACTATCGAAATAAAATAAAAAAGTTAAGATTATCGAATAAATTTTTTTTTTTTTTAATAAATGAACACAATGCTCTATAAAATGAACAGTCTTGAACATCTCTAATCCAAATTTGGACCCGAAGCAAGCCCAATCTTTATTTTATTTTGTGTTATTATACAGAGATTTTCAAATAACTGGTAATGGTATTTTTATAGTGAAATTTTATTAATTGCCAAATACTAAAAATATCAAAATTATTTTTTTAAATAAATATTTTATGTTGAAACAAATAAAACATTAATCATTAATTTACTATTCATGTGTTCTAAATTCATTTTTTCAAAGGCTTCCCACATCGGGAAGTTTGGGTGTGTGTGTTACAAGGCGTTAGGATCCTCTAGAGTGTTTTTCTAGAGTGATATCCTAGAGTTATTCATCCATAGTTGACACATGTTCCACTAGAAGATCCAAGGATTGATATGCAAACTAACCAAAACGACGTCGTTTTGGTTAGTATTTTGAAGAAGAAGAAAAAAAAAAAGAAATTCAGATTCAAAATTCTCTCCCAGCTTCTATATACGCAGCAAATAGAAAACAGAGCAAGAGAGAGAGAGAGAGAGAGAGAGAAGAAGAGAGAGACACTTGGTGTTGATCCCGAAACTATTCTACATCTGCACTGCACCGTCACAGAACCATCTTGCTTCATTTTAAGGAGATTGCTCTCAATGTTCCACAATACAGCTGCAACATGGAGTCAACCCAAAGGAAGAAAAAGAATTGAAGAAAATGAAGCAAACTCAGGTTTATAGCTGCAACATGGAGTCAACTCAAAGGAAGAAAAAGAATCGAAGAAAATGAAGCAAACCCACTGAAGTTCAAAAAAGTGACACCTAGTAACTAATTGAAACGGTTAAAAAAAAAAGTAACTAATTGAACTTTATGTTTGCCCAACAAAAAATACAAACACAAATGAATTCAACAGAATTAATACCCAACTCGGGAAATTGATTTTAGATTAATAAAAAAATCTATCACAAAAAAAGGACCAAAACAGAAAATCACTCAACAAACATGAAATTTAAAATTTAAAAAAAAACCCAACAGAGATATACATACTGTTTGTGACTGGACAGATGTAGAGTACCCAATTGAAGAAAAACAATAATGCCAGATCCGTCAATTGAATGAGGATGAAGCTAGAGAAAGAAAATAAAAGGTGTAGAGAGAGAGAGAGAGAGAGAGAGAAAAGGGAAGGGAGGTGGAGGAGACAAGAAGAAACAAGATGCTATCTTCGGCAGCGGCGGCGATCATAGCAACGACAGTGGCGGGTGACGCGACTTTGTCAACGATGAATGGCGAGCGACGCGATGGTCTTCTTCCTCAGCTCCTCCTCTACTCTCAATCCTTCTCTCTCTCTCTCTCTCTCTCTCTCTCTCTCTCTCTCTCTCTCTCTCTCTAATGCTTCACAAGAACATGACAGGAACGACTTCAAAACAAATCAGAATTATTTTATTTTTTTTCAAAGTAAAACGACGTCGTTTTGGTTAGTTTGTATATTAGCCCTTGGATCCTCTAGTGGAACACGTGCCAGTCATGGATGAATAACTCTAGGAGATCACTCTAAAAAAATACTCTAGAGGATCCTAACGCTGTTACGCGGGCCATGAGGGACCGCCCTACTTAGCAATTGCCTTAGGTGAGATTTTCTTGTGGGTCCCACCTTATTTCTTCATGTGAAAAAAAAATAAAAAATCAATTTTTCAAAACCAACAAAATTATGACATCCTTGTTCCACTATCAGGTGGACCTTCATACTCCTCAAAATATTTAGGCCTTATTTGGTTTGTTTTTGATGAATAAATTTTAGAGAAAAATTTTTAAAATTTTGTTTGGTTTAGTGATTTTGGAAAAAAATTTCCAAAATCACTTTCTCTTTCCTACACATCAATCAATCATTTTTTCTCTTACACACATCTATTCAATTACAACAAAATATCAAATCATCCCAAACTCCCATACTCCAAAACTATTTCCAAAATATATAACCAAACAAACCAAAAAAATTCTAAAGTCTTCCCAAAAAATTTTTTGAAAATTTATCTCCTAAAATCAAACCAAACACACCCTTAAATTTTATGAAACTGCTCAATCAAAAATAATTTAGCAAATCAACATAATCTAATGTAAGATTTGGAGTCACAATCAAACAATAGAATTGTTTTCTGATCATATAATTGATCGAATCTTGCCCACACTCATATATCACTAATTATTGTTTTGCCACTGAGTATAATAAATGTTTTAAATATTATAATACATTTAACTTTTTATGTTGTCGTGCCATCAAATTTGTGACATCATAAGCATACATTAATTAGTGGAAAACATCAGCCAAAAAAAATAAATTAAAATATTACAAGCTTGTGAGGAAAGAGAAATGCAAAATAAATAAATCATTCACTAAATTAATGAAAATGATAAATTTTATTTTTCTTTCTTTTTTTTAAGAGAACACTATATCATTGAAGAGTCTTACTAAAGATCCTAAAATATCATCCTTAGATTTACCTATAATGCCTTGGTAATGGATTGTGTCATAGAAGTTCGATTCTTATACAAATCAACATCTGACATGTAATAGTTCACATCATTTGAAATAATATTAGGTGAGAATTTACAGCTCTCTCTCTTGTTAACAACAAAAGGCTATGTATAATAAAATTTATTCCATACATTAGTGATATCACGTCATCTACAATGAAACAACATAATTGTTTGAAGATAATCACTTAGAAGAGTTGTAATAAAATAAAATTGCTACAATGAACAACAAACCTTTATTTGAATTAATGACAATCATAAACCTAAGAGCCTTAAAATTTTAGCCCAGATTCAACGAACTTTTGTTCACCGATTTGGACTAGGCGATTTGGACTAGGCAGTCGACCATCTCATCTGTCAGATAATTCTTCCAATCTCCGACCTCACCACGTCGAAAGTAGGCTTTATTCTCCTCCCCTGATGACGACTTTCCATTCTTGTTCACCTCTAAACTACTCAAATGATCAAAACTACACAACCTTAAGATCTCATCCACCACTCCTAATGTTCCTTCACCTAGAGAAAACGGGCAACCCAAGAACTCAGCTAATCTCTTTACATGAATAATGGGTTCTTCTTTCATCTCCTCATACTTTAGAAAAATTACTTTTTGAGGTTTCTCTAAGCTCTCCTTCCAATAACCCAACACATGATCCCAAAAGGGTCTACATATGCACACTCCTCTACAAAACATATCAAATACATCTTCAAGTCTATTTGGTCCAAGGCTAGGAGGTCTAATCTTGTTTGCAAAGTGATGAAGTGAAACGAAAGTGTCCATGGGGTTCCCGCATAGGTAGACAAGCATGCTCGCCGAACTCATCACAGATTCAGGCAAGGATGAGAATGGTAAATGAGTTACAAACTGTTGTAAAAATAATACTTCGATTCAACCGAATAATTTAAACAGAACAGATTATTTAATATGAACAGAATCTGCAGAATTTTATTATAACAGATAAAAAACAATGACAGAACTTACAAGTGTCTGAATACTCAAATTAAGAACAAATTTGTGATTGAGGCCAGTGTATGGACACTGTGTCTTTAATTATGGTACCTTGCGTAGATTAATTAACTTAGAATATCTACCTAAAGTTCATATTGATGCAAATCATAAGTGTGAAGTATGTGTTGAATCAAAATTGACTAAGGCATCTTTTAAGTCAATTGACAGAAATACTGCACCTCTGGATCTAATCCATAGTGATATATGTGATTTGAAATTTGTTCAAACACGAGGAGGGAAAAAATATTTCATCACCTTTATTGATGATAGCACTCGGTATTGCTTTGTATACTTGTTGCGAAGCAAAGATGAAGCCTTAGAAAAATTCATAGAATTTAAGGCTGAGGTTGAGAATCAACTTGGCAAGAAAATAAAGGCTATAAGGAGTGACAGAGGTGGTGAATATGAAGCACCATTTGGTGACTTATGTTCACAATTAGGAATAATACATCAAACCACTGCACCTTATACACCTCAGCAAAATGAAGTTGTTGAGCGAAAAAATCGCACTTTGAAAGAAATGATGAATGCCATGTTAATTAGTTCGGGGTTACCTCAGAGCTTGTGGGGGGAAGCTATTCTTTCCGCTAATTATATTCTCAATAAAATTCCTCATAAGAAGTCTAATAAAACACCCTATGAACTGTGGAAAGGTCGAAAGCCTTCCTACAAATACTTGAAAGTGTGGGGGTGTTTGGCTAAAATGGCAGTACCAGAACCGAAAAGGGTTAAAATTGGACCCAAGACTGTTGATTGTATTTTCATAGGATATGCAAACAACAGCAGTGCCTATCGGTTTTTAGTACATAAAAGTGAGAACACAGAGATCCATGTCAATACAATTATCGAGTCTAGGAATGCATCATTTTTTGAAAATGTGTTTCCTTGTAAATTGACACAAGAGCCTAAAAGGACATATGATACTGCTTTTGACAATGATCAAAGGCAAGTTGAGGAAAACCCAGAGGAAAAAATCGAGGAGGAACCTAGACGAAGTAAAAGAGCTAGGACAGAAAAATCTTTCGGTCCTGATTTCTTAACATACTTACTGGAAGAGGAGCCTCGAACTTTCAAAGAAGCAATGTCTACTCCTGAAGCTCCTTCCTGGAAAGAAGCTATCAATAGTGAAATTGAATCAATCCTGCAAAATCATACATGGGAATTGGTAGATCTTCCACCAGGCTGTAAGCCTCTGGGTTACAAGTGGATTTTTAAAAGAAAGATGAAGCCGGATGGTTCAATTGATAAATACAAGGCAAGACTTGTAGTTAAAGGTTACAGGCAAACTGAAGGAGTAGATTATTTTGATACTTACTCACCTGTAACAAGAATAACGTCAATTCGAATGTTAATAGCTATTGCAGCTTTGAATAATCTTGAGATCCATCAAATGGATGTTAAGACTGCATTCTTGAATGGCGATCTGAATGAGGAAATTTACATGGAACAACCAGAAGGGTTCGTGGTTCCAGGGCAAAGGAAAAAAGTGTGCAAACTTGTGAAATCTCTTTACGGTCTAAAACAAGCACCCAAACAATGGCATGAAAAATTTGACAATGTAATGATGTCAAATGGATTTAAAATTAATGAATGTGATAAATGTGTTTATGTGAGAAACACAGAAAAGGGATATGTCATTGTTTGCCTATATGTAGATGATATGCTCATCCTTGGTAGTAATAATGAAATGATCAAAGCTACCAAGAAAATGTTGAACTCTAAGTTTGACATGAAAGATATGGGAATAGCAGATGTTATACTTGGAATAAAAATTACAAAGACATCTGAAGGATATACCTTGTCTCAAGGACATTATGTTGATAAAATACTTGAGAAATTTAACAAGCATGACGATCGTCTCGCTAAGACCCCTATAGATGCTAATCTTCATTTGATAAAGAATATGGGTGAAGGTGTATCACAAGTAGAATACTCCCGGATCATCGGAAGCTTAATGTACCTCATGAACTGCACTCGTCCAGATTTAGCATATGCAGTTAGCAGATTAAGCAGGTATACTAGCAATCCAGGAACAGACCACTGGACAGCAGTAGTTAGGGTACTTAGATATCTAAAGTATACTCGAAACTATGGGCTGAACTATATGAGATATCCAGCAGTATTAGAAGGTTATAGTGACGCTAATTGGATCTCAGACACTAAAGACTCTAAGTCTACCAGTGGTTATGTCTTTACCTTGGGAGGTGCAGCAGTCTCATGGAAGTCATCTGTAGACAGCGCCCGCGTGGGACGTCGTGCTACAGTTCGGACTCGATTTGTGTCACGGGTCTTAATCTGAACCAAAGAGTCCAAATCTGGCAAATCGTTTTGAGAAACAGATTTTTTTGAAAAGTGTGCAAACATGGACTGCTTTGCCAGATTAGAGTCGCCACCTTAAATATTTTTTTTATGGGGAATTTAGGAAACCCTGACTCGGTGCCGAAGGCCACATGTCCGTCATCACCGGAGTTGTCTCGGCTCGGGAGCTTGGTACGATCGGGGAAGGTCAGCTATGAGCACCCCTTTCGCCCGGTCCGAAGACCGGCCTGTACTAACCGTGATATCCGTTTTTGAAAACTTTACGTGTTCTTATTCCATTTATTAGCCTAGAATTAACTATGTTATGCGCACAGCAAACAAGTATAGCGATTGCCTAATTTGGAAATAACATTGCATATCCGTTTGGTTTGAAAAATGCTTTGGAATTTGCTATCGCAAGTAGGCTAAAATACGGATTTCAACGAGTTTTTCCAACTCAAACAACCCAACCTTCACCCACAGGCATTCAAAGCAGTTTAACAACATAAGCATCTAGCACACGTTAAGCCATGCTGTTATGGCAACATTCACACTCATGCGATATGCTAAAGCAGAAATACTTACATAGTATCCCGTGCCAAAACCAAAGAACTTGTTAGCAAATATGCATGATCCAAGTCCATGTGAAGTGCTAATGCATCGCATACAAAATGTGCTAGAATAGGCTCGGCTATCCTAAACATGTCATGTGAAAATGCACAATTATCACGTATTCGTTTGAAAATTGAAGTATTGATGCAATTAGCGGATGTACCGAGCTAATGCATGTAATACAAATGCATGGATGCACACATGCATAGTCATAAGGTATGCTAAATTAGACGTGACCTAATACTAACTCATCAAGCAGGTAAGTAAAGGGAAGAAAGAAGTGGGGATTGGAAGACATTCACACACCCACACACACTTATTACAGATATTTGCCCTCGCTCGGAGGGACCGAATAAATATTACAAATTAACTAACTACGCAAGCTAATTAAATATTAACAAATTACTAATTTATTAACAAATTAAATAGACTAAAAAAATAGTAAAACGCCTCGAGAAGCGTGCCGCATGCGCAAGCTGCCTCTGTTTTCCTCCTTTCCTCTCTGGAGGTTGTCAAACCTCAGGACTACAATCCTTGGACAGAGGGGATCACCACCGGTATGATGAAACTTCCACCGGCAGTGTAGTATGGCACTCGGCACAAAATAGGGTCTGTCGGCAGAGAAAACTTGTGCCGGTCGGCACATTACACTGCCGGTCGGGCAGAGTATTCCTGCAGAACCTGCAACTCACAGCAACAGAGGGCAAAATAAGGCATGACAGCACAAATTCAAGGCATGTATGCACCAAACATGTCTCTTATCATTGTAATGACTCAAAGGGACATGTGCCTCGGTTCTCGGACCACAATCACGCATTTCCATGCATGATGGCCCAAGGAACCAAGTAATGCAACTTTGGTTTCAAATGCATGCAAACCAATCAAACAAATTAGGCCCAATTCCTATCACCCAATTCAAGGAACATAGGCATGCATGCAAAATGCAATGCAACCTAGGCATACAAGCTAGGAATGCAATGCATGGCAGGCACTTATGCAATCATGCAAGCACACATAGAGCAATGCAAATGGGATGGCGAGATGGACTTATACATGAATTAGGCGGTCTAAAATAGGCCTAAACAGTAGCCATAATGACAAAACAAGAAGCCAAACACATGCAACAAATCACATGATGGAAGGCTACACTTGGGCACAATTTAAACACCCTCAAGCACACTTAAAAGGGATAAACGAGAGCAACTAGCATGCAACCTAAGCATTGAAATCATGTCATAAAATGATGCCAAATCATATTAGCAAGACAAGCAAATGCATGTAAGCATGGTCTAAGCACTTGAAGCAAGTCATGAAGCTTTGAAGCATAGTTTATCACACAAACATGGCATGCATTGAACAACCTAAAACAGGTTTTTTAGCTCATAACATGAGGCCCAAAGACCACTTAGATGGCGTCTAGATGGCTCAAAGACAAAGGCATGCAAAGGCACCAAAACATGGAGCATTGCAACATATGCTTTCAAAGCATTAAAGAGGCATGCGAGGCAATCAACGAGCATGATGGAAATGGGACTGAAAAGCATGCAAGATGATTCCAAATCATCAAATTCATGCAAAGATGGCATGCTACAACATGCCATACTCCAAAGCCAACAAGCCTAAATGCAAAGGAGCCATATAATGCATGCAAAGATCAACCAACGATATGGTCAGAGCTAAGCATGGCAAAATAGAGCAATAAACTTAACAAATGCAAGCCTAAAACATGCTAAACAGACAAAGGCTAACACCTAGACATGTTAAGGCACAAAATGGCATTACA